TATCTCCAGACTCCTGTTTATCGGGGGATGCACACACACACACACACAATTATATTTTTCCTTTGTTTTCCAGAAATAATTCCCCTTTTATTTGCCTTCACCCTTAATTATAGCTTTTCTTCAAAGTTAAGTTGAAAATGTGGTCTGTAATCAATCAGTATCTCTGCTTTCTTGACTTTCATTTACTTGAACACACCAACAGTGTGGATTCTACCTCCCCTCGCCACCCCTCATGAGAGAGATAAAAGGAACAAGGGAAGGGGTGGTAAAGAGAGGGATAGGGAAGACAGAAAGCAAGCACATCTGCATACCCTCTCTTCCACTTGTTGCACTAGAACTTCTAGCAAAAATCATCAGTGTTCATGTTCCCCAATATGTATGAGCCTGTTTTTGTCTTTATTTGCTCTCTTTCTGAGGGTATCATACCTAGAACTGGTGTTCTGCTATGACAATATGCTAATAAAATCTGTGTCCGGGACTTCTCTCCTGGACTCAAAGCCAGGTGTCTGCCCGCTGTTAAGCATCTCTACCTAAATATCCTCTGTCTTCAGCATGTCCAAAATGGAGGCTTTCCTGTCAGACCTACTGTCCTTCCTTACATTTACAACCTCTGGATGACCCTTTACCTACCTCTTTGAGTTACCTAATTCAAAAGACTTTTTCAGTCCTCCTAGACTCTTGCTTTCTTATCTCTTATTTCTAAACAACTTCTGAGTCTCACTGTTTCTGATTCCACTTACTTCCTTCTTCACTGTTTTACATATCTTCTGTACCCCCAAGGATATACTTTTGGCCATCTGCATCTCACATCAAGACTTCTAGTAATTAGTTTCTTTGGTCTGTTTGTGATTGCTTCTAGCCTATGGGACTATGTCACAGCCAAAATTACCTTTTTAACCCGAGAATGATTTCTCTCATCTGTTTAAAACTCTTGCATTTCTATTCATTGTTCACAGGAGAAATTCAAAACCACATGTAGTTCCCTAAACAAGCATTTTGCTTCACATTATCTAGACCCTTACACATATGTAGACTGTTACTTTCTGCTCCCAATCTAGTTAACCTGCCAAACTCCTCATACTCTTAGGTGTCAGCTTAGGCATCACTTTCTGTAGCTTGTCGTGGTTTCCCAGTGCAACCCCTTTATTTTCTTTTTTTGGCACTGAGGATCAAACTCTGGCCCTAGCGCTTGTGAGGCAGGCGGCAGAACCACTGAGCCAAATCCCTGGCACTGCAAACCCTTTATATTACCTTTAATATGTTTATTACACTCTACTACAGTTCTTTTTACCTTTAAATAGAACATGAATGTCTTCTTTTCATACAGTACGTAGCACAATGCCTGGAACTAGTAGGTGCTTTGTACATACTTGTTGAGTTATAGAAAATTTATAAAACACCTGCATATATGTGATTTCTGTTTAAATAATTTACCTTAAAAGTTACAAATTGTGCATTTCTGAAAACCTGTCCCTTATATTCATGAGATACTATAAATATGGTTTAATATTTTCCTTCTACCTTAGTTTTTTATAAATCATTTTGATCTATTTTCAGTGTCGATAAAAAAATTACCTACTGCATTCAGTTCATTTAGGAAAAATAGAAAACTGATAAAGTTCAGCAAGTTTGTATTCAAAATACCTGCAGCTTATATTGGACTTTTTAACAGAATTCAGAAATTTGTCCAATGCCAATTTGTGTTGTTTCTTTGAGCCTTTGCCTTTCTTTTATATAATTTTTATACATGTAATTTATAATTGTTTCTTTTTCTTACTTAGAAATACATGGGACAAGAAGTTGCCCCACTGATAAGTCATCTTTTAATTTAGCTACAGTTGTTGCTGAAACACTTGGACTTGATGTTCAAGAGGAATCTGTAAGTAATACTTATTTTGATAATAATATGAATTAATTAATATGTCCCTTTAGAGCTATTCTTAGAGGATTGAGCAAAGATAAATTATTTTTTCCAGAGATCATTGAGTAAAGACCTAGAACAAAACTAGTGTTTGAAAAACCCATTTATATTGTGTGCTCCAAAGCAGGCCCAGCAACTTCATAGGGTTGAGTCAACATTGTAGGAGAATTACAGCAGAGTGGATTTATTCTGCCTGTCTTCTTTCCTTCCTGTTGTCTTCTTCCTGTCCACCTTCATGCTGTCTAAGACCTAAACCCTTAGATTGATTTCAGAGTGTTATGGGTCTTTTTGACATCCATTAAAGGAAAATTTGACTTGGATAATAGGCTGAATTCTTCCTACTACCAAGAACTGCTGATCCAGTTAGACCTAATTCTTGGGGGCTGAGACAGAGATTAGCTCCAGCCTATTTTCATTTTCTTAGTACAGTGTTTCCTTACTTATGTCATTACACTTATTGGTTTTGTTTTGTTTTTTCTTGATTGAGCCCCAGAAAATAGAAATCTTCATTCTTAAGTTCTGGCTTAACACAATCTCAAAATAGTATTCATTTGCTTAAGTTAGTAAATGTGTATGTGCCCCATAAAATTGTCTTGCTGTTGAATTTCTTAAATTTGAATTTTTAAGGATTATACTATATTTGGTTTTTGTCCTTTTAAAATCCTTTCTTACCATACTTCCCTTGTTAGTTAGTTAGTTAGTTAGTTAGTTAATTATTTGGTGCTGGGGATTGAACCTAGGGTCTTTGCATGCTAGCCACACAATTGCCACTTAGCTAAACCCCCGGCCTTACTTTCCTTGATGGGACAAAATATCTGACAACTGCAATTCCAGGAGAGGTTAGTGGGGTTTGTTTTGTTTTATTAGTATGTGTTCTCAGTACATGACGTGTGCATTCATCTTAGAGTGTGGATATATATATAACACAGTTTAATTCTTTTTAATCTCCTTCCCCTTCCTACCCACCAACCTCCCTCCATCTCTAAGTCCCCTTTCCCCATTTTTATTCACATTATTATTTTTGGTTCATGTTTATGATATATAATTTTACATTCATTGTGGGTATTTAGTACATGTATATGACACATCTTAACATCTTTCTACTTCTCCTTCCCCTTTTCCCCCTGCCCTCACCATGGTCTCCTGGACTCTTCCACATTTGCAAAAGATCTGTCTCCTTGTTTCCTTCCATCAGTCCTTTCTTTTGCTCTTTATTTGTTCTTTGCCTTACTCAAATGAGGGAAACCATTTGATGGTTAAGCTTGAAGAGGGGCTTATTTTGATTTATGGTTAAAATCTGTGGTCAGCCAGTTCCAGCCCAAAAGGGCATGGGAAAGGCCCATGGGGGAATGCTGCTCACATCACAGCAGCCAGGAAGCAGAGTGGGGAGGAGCAGAGGCTGGAGACAACACCCTTCCAGGTGGGTCCCCAGTGATCTGTCTGCAGATACCACCACCAGGCCCCACCTCCTGCAGCAGCCATAGCCCCACCATGGTGCAGTCTTCTTCCGAAAGCCCTGCCTATGAGCACACCAGGTCTCTGAGGACATTCTCCGTGGAACCCTAACAGACCTGCTTCTTAGGAACTGAGTCAGATTGGCCCCATCGTATTTTATTATTTTACTATTTACCTATATCAGGCATGTTTACTTTTTTTTCTTTAATTGGTCTGTATAAAATAAAAAATGGGAATTCTTCAACCTTACCTTCTGTTTTGACACAACTTTTCCTTCTTCACTTTAGCTAGTAAATGTATATGTACTCATAAAGTTGCCTTGATGTTAAATTTCTAAAAATTGGCTTTTTTATTTGAGTTTTTATCCTTTTTAAATCCATCCTCCCAGGTGCGGTGACACACGCCTGTATTCCTAGCTACTCGAGGAGATGAGGCAGGATGATTGCAATTTTGAGGCAGTCTGGGCAATTTAGGGAGTCCCTGTCTCAAAATAAAGAAAAAATGTTAAGGCTGAGCATGTACCACAGCAGTAGAGCTTTTGATCCCCAGCACCACACGCACAAAAACCCATCCTCAGATGGTAATGGGTACTTTTTCACCTTGGTACTTTGAATGTATTTTATTGATTTCTAATTCCCTCCTACTTAGAAGCCTAGTAGTTTAGACATCAAGTAGTAATTTAGACATCAAATATTTTAAGGAAACCGAAATCTAAAGATTGGCTGCTTGTAGTTCAAGTCATAGGCCCACAGCGTCTGCATCACTTTAGAGGTTGTTGGAGGTACAGAATCCAGACCTGCTGAATTTGCACATAACAAGATCCCTGGTGGACTTGTATGTATGTTAAAGTTTCAGAAGCACTGCTTTCTAAAGGATCCTTTTAAATTGGTCCATATTCTCTTCCCCTCATGTTAATAATGGTTTTTGGAATTGGAGCTTTATATACCAGTAATAGAATGTACTTACATAAAATATTGATGGTTTTCTCTCTTAAAATTTACTATAGTTTGTATTTTTATTGGGATGAAATTCAGGTAATATAAAACAAATAATTTAAAGTGTGCAGCTCATTCAAAGGCAGGCATAGTGACCCAGCCTATAATGGCAAACACTCTGGGAGTCTGAGCCAGGAGGATTGCAAGTTTGAGCCTAGGCTGGGCAATTTAAGAAACTTGGAAAGACCCTGTCTCAAAATAAAAAAAAATTTATCTGAAAGGCTGAGGATTTAGCCTAGTGGAAGGCCCTAGGGAATGAGCTAAGTACTACAAAAATAACTTAAGTGTACAGTTTAGAGTACTCATAATATTATGTAACTACCACCTTTTCAAGGATGAATAATATTCCATTGTTTGAGTGTGCTTCATATTTTACTATTGAAGGAATCTCAGAGTCCCATGAGCCCTCTTGGTGATGAGCTATACCACTCTCTGGAAGGAGTTCACAAGAAACAGCCTTTTGAGGAATCCGTGAGAAATGCTAAAGATAGTTTAAGGTAATTTGGGGCGCTTTGGTGAAAACTTGTAACTATTGTTGAGCTCCCATTCGAATTAAACCATTTCATTCAACCCTTTCTTTCCTTCAGCATATAGTTGATATTCTGGCTATACTTTTATTGTGAAAAATGTTCCTCCAATTTATGAGCAATTGAGAGCCCTTTGAATTACAATTGAGAAGTAGGTGTTAATTTTGAATCCTTTTTGTACATTATCAAGCAGTAAGTTCAGTATTTAAGAGCTCCCAGTCTTATTCTGACCCTTTAAAGGCCTAGCCTCCTTTGTGTGTTTGTTGCCAAGTCCAATATATATTATGCAAAGGGTACCTTTAAGTTGGATGAGTTTCTGAGATTGTATTGCATCTCATTTTTGGCTAATTTCATCTGTCATCATAATAACTCTTTAAAATAGGATTTAGTGCTTGTGAAATATATATAAAACTGCAACCCCTGAGAGATTACATATTTTTGTAAAGCCACTTAGGTGTTAAATGCTAGACCCAGAACTCATAATCATTCCCTGTCTTCACATTTAGAACCTAGGGCTCTTTCTGTAGCTTTCTTCTTTACTAGAGACAGCTGAGTTTGACTTCTAATTAAGCGTTTTAGGGTTGGAGCTATAGTCCAGTGGTAGGCCACTTGTTTAATAACCAGGAGGCCCTGGCTTGATTTCAAATACTGAAGAAGAAAAAAAAAACAACCCAGAATTTTGTTCTTAGTTCATTAATTTTTTTTTTATAATGAAGGTATTTAAATTACTTAGGGAAAAATTAGATAGGAATATTAGGGTATTGAGACATGTTTTCTGAACCATTTTCCTCAGCTCTTTGTCTCCCAAATGAAGAGACTCTAACAGTTATACTATATCTTAAATGTGGTTAATGATCTGCCTCTCATAGAGAAAACCTCACTATTCTGTGTTAAGCAAAGATTTTTCTCATCGTGCTTGTGTTTCAATTTTTACTGTATTTGTTTAGTAGAAAAAAAGTTTTCTTATTCTTTAATTAGATTTTCAGATTCTTCTTCAAAGACTCCTCCTCAAGAAGAATTGGTTCCTAGGGTGTCATCTCCTGTATTTGTACCTACATCTACTATGAAAAGTAGTTTGGGTTTGAATACAAGTTTGTCCCCTTCTCTTTTGGACACTGGGAAACAAAGCCATCTCAAAGCAGCCCCTTTCAGCAGCACTTCTATTTCTAGATCAGAGAAAACTAGATCAAAATCTGAAGATAGTGTCCTTTTCACACATCATAGTCTTGGGTCTGAATTGAACAAGGCCATTAGCCAGTCATCTTCTAGTAAGCAGATTCTTAAAAATATAAGTGAATCCATAAATGAACAGGATATTACTCTTCACATTAAAGAGGCTGTTATGGATAAACATATAGTGTCTCTGAAATCATCGGGAGGCAGGACATCCAAAAGGAAGAAAACTGAGGAAGAAAACGAACATGAAGTATGCTGCCCCCAAGCCTCTTTTGATAAAGAAAATTCTCTTCCTTTTCCAATGGATAGTCACTTCTCCATGAATGGGGACCATATTATGGATAAACCTCTTGATCTGTCTGATCGGTTTTCAGCTATTCAGCGTCTAGAGAAAAGACAAGGAATTGAGACTTCCAAAAACAAATTCAAGCAAGTGACTCTTTATGAAGCTTTTAAGCCCATCCCAAAAGGCTCTTCCTCAAGCTGTAAGGCCTTGGATGGGGGCTGCATGGTACCCAAAGATTCCCCAGAGGAATCCTGTCTTCAGGAGTGTGTACACCATCCTTCACATAAATCCCCTCCATACAGTAAAACACCATTACCTATAAAAGAAGAAAATTCCATCTTCAAGATCCCTCTACATCCACATGAAAGTTTGGCGACAGAGAATCTTTTTGATGATACAAAGGTTTGTGTTAAATGTTTAAGGATTTTGATTAAAATCATTTTCTGTGATTTCATGTGGATGCTAATTATCATTTCTGTTTAGGGTGCTAGTTCTAATGAGCCAAAAAAAGTAAAAGCCAGGTCACTTCACGGAGGATGTGAACTTGCATCAGTTCTTCAGTTAAATCCCTGCAGAATTACCAAAACAAAGTCTAACAACAACCAAGGTATGCATCCTATAAATAGGATTTCTGCTCTTCTTTAATGACTTTGAATTGAATATTTACATACTTCAAGCAGATTAAATTGTTTTGGAAATTTTTTTAAATGTCCTCCCTGCATGTTTGGGTTCATAAGATGATTCTCATTGGTTTCGTTTTATCTCTGATTTTTCTGCTTTTGTGCTTTTTAGAAAAATGAATTGAGATATTTTGATATCTGCTATTTTGTACTTATTTTTGTAATTATTTCCTTTACAGAAGCTTTTAAAATTTAAACTATACAGAATTTTTAAAATAAAAATAATCATCCCAACCTCATTTTTCATTCTATAGGTAATTTGTCCTTTTTATTTCATTTACATTTTTATGTGTAAGCATGAATATATACATTATTTGCATAGGTTTTCAAACTTACTTGTAAACCTTGTTTGCCCTTGTAAACATATTTCTTCTGATAATTTTACTGTCCGTATTTTAAAGGAGACCTTTTGTTTTTCAGCCATCAAACATTTTTCGAATTCATATGCAGTATTTTTCTGTTTTTGTTCATTGGCAATGTATTCTTTCATTCTGGGCTTGTTTTCCTTTTTTCCTGAAGTATATTCTTATTGTTCCAGCATGAAAACATTTTTTTCACTCTCATTCCTAATTTTTTTCACTTTTTTTTCACCCTTTGGTTAATTTCTTCTTGTCTGCTTTCAGGGTTATAACATGCCTGTTTAGCTTTTCATAGACTGTCTAGAGTTACTGCCTACTACTTCATGTTCTACATCTATATTTCATGTGTTTGTTGTGTCTTAGATTTACATGCAGTACATTGAAAACTCTACCAGACAATGTTATATTGTCAACATTTAAAAATTTTTATAAAAATGCAAATTACATAGCATAAAAATCCACCATCACCTGAGCTACATAGTGAGTTCCAGGTCACTCTCAACTACATGAGACCCTGTCTCAAAAAAACAAACCAAAAACAAACAAAATCCACCATCAAAGTTTCAATTCAGTGGTTTTGTTAAATTCACAGAGTTTTTCCAGCCATAACTGTAGTCTTAAGTTTAGAACAAGCATCACTCTCTGCTGATCTTCCTTTTCCCCAGTCCTGGGCATCACTGGTCTATCTTTTGTGTTCATAATTTAGCTATTCTACAGGATTCATATAGATGGAATGCTTTAGTATATAATCTTTCGTGATTCATCTCTTTCATTCAGTATAATGTCTTCCATTTCATCTGTGTTATAGCATGCATTCATACTTAATTCCTTTTTACTGCCGAATAACATGGTATACCAGATTTTTCATCTGTTAATAGAAATTTAATTGTTCCTAATTTTTGCTATTATGAAGAATACTGCTGTGAACATTTGTGCATAAGTTTTTGTATGGATGTATGTTTTCATTTTTTGTTTATACTTAGGAATGGAATTACTAGACTCTTTGCCAACTCCGTATTTAAACTTTCGAGAGGCTGCCTGTTTTCCAAAGTAGCTGTATACCATTTCACATTCCCACCAGCATTGTGTGTGGGTTGCAGTTTCTCCACATCTTCACTAACACTTGTTATCTTTCATTTTGATTCTAGCTATCTTTGTAGATGTGACATAGTGTCTCATTTTGATTTTGCATTTTCCTGAGGGCTGATGATACTGAATATCTTTTTATGTGCTTATTGGCCATTTAAACTGTCTATTCAGAACCTTTTCCTATTTTTAATTTGAAAAACTTACCTGTTTTTGTATTGTGAGTTCTTTATATATCCTAGGTACAAGTCTTGTACTAGACTTGTGATTAGAAAAAAAATTTCTCCCATTCTGTGGGTCTCCTAACATTTTAAAGTGGTGAGAATTTTCAAAATCTATTTTTAATTGCATATTTTTCTCCTTATCTAAGATGCATCCTTTGAAAATATCCAGTGGAGTGTAGATCCAGGAGCAGACCTTTCTCAGTATAAAATGGATATTACTGTAATAGATACAAAGGTAAATTAAAAATAAAACCAAAGCCCATTTGCTTATTCTAGTGAGTTGTTAGTGAACTTTCTCTCCTGACTTATTCTGTGACCTTTATTCAGATACTTCTTAAATACATTTATTTATTTAGAAGACAAAGAAACAGATACTTATTCATCAAACTCAATGGTATTTTTGAAAAGAATACTTTATTTCTTTAAAGGCCTTTACTTAGCATTGGTATCATTTTTTAAATAGTACAACATTCTAGTTATATGTTTTTAAATTATTTTTATGAAAATAATCCATTTGCTGTGATTAGCTTTAGAGTAATGTCCCATAAAGAAAATATTTATTTTCCCTGTTGACTAATTTTTTAGGAACTACATTTTTTGAAAATAAAAGTAATAGTGGAAATCCTTTTTTACTTTATATTTAGGTTCTCTGGTTTGAGAAGTTCTCTTTCACTTGATAGCATATTAATAACAGAATATCTAACAATTGCTGAAGTAATTTATTCCATCAAGAAATCAAAATGATTACTGAAATTATTGTGGTTGGTTGTGCATTTTTGTTCATTCCTGTGAGGCAGTTTGGGAAAGATGCAGGATGAGCCAAAGGTGGTCTGTGGTGTATGGGATTCCCTTTCGTGGACAGGAGTCCTTTTCCTAGGCTACAGTTCTGCCATAGTAATGTGATATATTTTACAGTCTGTAAAACCTGAATCTGTTCCCAAAGAATGAAAGCAGATATAATTTAATGCTTAAAGACAGAAAATTTTATGTGTATTTTACCAAAAAATTTGGTAAAAATAAAAACATAAAGCCATGAAGAAATAATTATTAAATTTTGGATTTTAGGATGGAAGTCAGTCAAAATTAGGAGGAGAGACAGTAGACATGGACTGTACACTTGTCAGTGAAAGCTTGCTTTTAAAGATGAAGAAGCAAGGCCAAAAAGGAGAAAAAAGTCCAAGTAAGATTTGCTTTTTAAAATTTTAATAAAAACGTGAAATGAAGTTTGTATTTATACCATTGTACTGATTGACGGTGAACTCTATTGTTGTTATGGCTCATGGATAGATCCCCCCACAACCCTTAAGTGTACACTGGCACTTTTCAGAGGTGGCTGAATCTAGAGTGTGTGACATGGCTTGATTGATGGTGCAATGCTAGGAATAGGCTGTGAGTACTACCTTCCCTGGATAAGATACAAGGGACAGAAAAAGACTTGTCACTTATTGTTGCTGCTGCTTGTTTTCTGCTCTGCGAGCCCTTCAGCCATGCCACCTTGCCCTGGAGCAGCCAACTATGGGCTGAAACCCCTACAGACTGTGAGCCAAATAAACTTTTCTTCCTTTAACTTAGGGTGTCGGGTGTTTTATCTCAGCAACTAGAAAAAAAATCTACGACAATCGTAAACTAGGATTATTTTCCCTGCTGTTAATTTTATATTCATTTTAAGGAAATTTATTTTCAGTGTTTCAGAAAAAAAATATTTTGCTAGAATAATTTTATTTCAGAAAAAAATTCAGATTGTTTCCAGGGGTCAGCAGGCTAGTTAGCTGCCAGTTTTATTGTGAACAGTGTCATTCATATGTTGTGTTGCCTGTGATTGCTTGCTCCAAAAAGGATAGAAATTAGTTTTTGCTGTGGAAACCTTATAGCTCCAGAAGCCCGTTTTACTTTTTGATCTTTTCTTTTTTTAAGTTGCTAATAAAGAGAGAAAAAGGAGGGTTCCAAAGAGTCCATGTGTCTTAATCAGTTACTCTTCACAGGGACACAGTCCCCCAACACTCAGGATTTAAAAGAGAGTTTTATTTTGCCTTATGTTTTCAGTCCATATTCTACTGGCTCCAAGCCAAGACAGCGTGGCAGAGGGGCATTGTGGAGGAAAAGCTGCCCACCTCATGGCACCCAGGAAGCAGAGAGAGAAGGGAGGAGCCAGGGAGGCAGATGCGCCCTTCCAAGTCATGCCCCCAGTGACCACCTCTTCCAAGCAAGCTTCATCTCCTAACTTTAAATTTAAATGTAGTGTCCTTGCGATCCAGTCACTCTTCAGAAGTGGTACCTCTGAACTCACTAGGCTTTTGGGGGGACATCTGGTATAAACTGTGATACCATGTTAGAATTGTGATTGTTTGTTGTTTGTTTGTTGACTCAGGGTCTCACTATGTAGCTGAGACTGACCTGGAACTCACTATGTAGCTCACGTTGGTCTCGAACTCACAGCGATCCTCCTGCCTCAGCCTCCTGAGGGCTGGGATTACGATTACAGGTGTGCGCCACCACACCTGGCTCTAGAATTGTTATTTTTTAAAGCAATTTGATAAGGAAAGAAAGGAAAACTCTACTAATAGATTTGCAGAATAGTGCTGAAGATGATACTATATATGTGGAATTAATCTGCTATATTCTACCTCTGCAGGAAAGGAGATGGCATCAGATCAAGGGTCTATAGCCATTTATAGTGAAAAATATTTTTTAGCATAAATAACATATTTATTCATCTGCATATTCATTTCCTTTTTTGAATTTTTTGTTTGTAATATGTAATGATTACATTCACAATGGAGAGTTGGTACATGTATACAGGACATCTTATGTACTGAAAAATTTAATTCTTCACCTAAAACCATGATTTTCCTGAAATAGAACAATAGAAGGACTTCAGTTAGCACTACCTTCACAACATTTCTAGCTATAACATAGGACCTGAAAACAATTAGACTGTTAACAGGTGCAGTTTATCACCCTAATCGATGGAAGGGTTAGGGCCTGCCCCTGGGGTGCAGTATTAAAAGCAGAGGCATTTCTCAACGGTAATCTATCAGGAGCTGAAGATGCTCAGCTGGATGTCCATTCCCTGTCTTGGATCTTCTTTAATCTACCTACATAGGTTCCAAAAATCAAACAGCCAGTCTTGCCTGGCTTCTTTTGAAACAAGTGAGAGAAAATTTCAATGGCCTTTGCCTTATATCTTCATCTTTTAGATATGATCAAGCAGATGGCTGTCGACATCACATTGTAAAAACAACATGTGGGATAGGAGACATTGTTGATGTCTTTTTTGTCTTTTAATCTTCCTCATAAAGTAAAACCTTTCTCACACTTAGAATTGGTTAAAATGAAAACTTTCAGTTACTGCTAATATTTTAATTCAAAAAATGTTTTCTAGAAGCCAGGCATGGTGGCATCAACATCTTCCCAGCTACTCAGGAGGCTGAGGTGGGAAAAATCATAAGTTTGAGACCAGCCTGGGAAATTTAGCAAGACTTTAGCTATAAGTGAAAAAGTCTAAAAGGGCTGGCTAAAGGTGTAGATCATCAGTAGAGCCCTTGCATAGCGTATGAAAGACCCTGGTGTTACCTCCCAAGGTTCTATCACGCTTGGATCCAGGCCCCACCTCTCTGGGTTTCTGGGTTTTTGGGTTTCTGGGTTTACTGGCCTGGCTGCAACCAAGAGTATGAGAAAAAGCCATAAAAAATTGAAAAAATAGATTCCTTTTCACCTGTGAATGGAGCTTCTTTTATCTTTAAGACCCTTAAGAATTTTTTGTAGTGAGTTTCCTGGGAAGTAAAGATAGCATTATAACTATTTTATTCTGAAGCTGCAGTTTTTCTTAAAAGTACAATTTTTATACTATTATTTTCCCTGGATTGGGAGAGGTGGCATATACTTGACACAGAGTTATCGTCTCTGGCTACTGTTCTATTTGTTAGCCAGCTCATCTTGTTTCTAGTTTTTCTTGAACTCCAAGGAGTTTTTTGTTTTGTTATTGTTGTTGTTTATTTGTTTGTTTTTGAGTGAGGGTCTTGCTAAGTTGTCCAGGCTGGGCTCAAACTTGCAGTCCTCCTGCTTCAGGCTCCCAGAGTGCTGGGATTACAGGCATGTGCCACCTCACCCCACCAAATTCTAGTATTTTTAAAAACATGATTACATAACAGGAAATGTAGTTGAAGTTTCAAAAATGAATTTAGCATTTTCACATATCAAATAGAGCATTGAATTCATTATGTCTGTCAGTTTTAAACTATCAGGTGCTAATGATAATGCAAGAAAAACTCTCTTCTTCTTCATTAGAAAAAATAAATAAGTAAAATCCTAGACATTTTAATATCCACTTTTTGTTTAAATTTAGTATTTGTCCTCATTTATTATGATATATTTTCTTTTCCTCACATTCTTTGGTAGGACTTTTTTGGTTTATATGAATTATACATGAGCTGATAGGAAAAAAACAAATTTTTAAGGGGTTTCGGTATATGACAATAACAAAAATTAGCATTCTCTTCACATGAATCATGAGTAAAGGACAGTTAAAGTCTTAAAGAACTACCAGAACTTGAGTTGATTCTTGCCTTGTGCACCAGTTGTAAGACTTAAACCTTGTTTTAAAAAGCATGATTTAAGAATTGTCTTTATCACTTCATTACATATATTAGTTTGTTACTGAGTCACCGAGTTAATACTGACAACTAATATTTTTTAGAATCGCCTTTTTTAACATGCCCACAATATATCACTACTTGTATTCACTGAAAGTAAACTCTTCACAACTAAGTCTCAAATCTGTATTATTATAATACTTCAAAGAATTTCTTTAAACACTTTATTGCATATATTATAGTTTTTTTAACCTTATAGTTACTGAATTAATACTCTAACAAGACAGCTTTCAACTGACTTTTTTTTGTGTGTGTGTGTGTGTAGTGGTGGTACTGGAATTGAAGCTAGGGCCTTCACGTTGAACCATATCTCCAGTTGGGTTGTTTGGTGTTTTTTCTGTTTGTTTGTTTTGTCTTTTAAGCCAGTATCTCACCAAATTGCTAAGCTGCCTGGCTGGGCTTGATCTTGTGACCCTCTTGCCTTAGCCTCCCACAATGCTGAGGTTGCAGGGGAGTACCACTATGCCTGGCTACAACTGACATTCATAGAATCATCTTTTACACTTGTGTTAATGCATGTATTCTCTTGAAAGAGCACCTTTCAAAGTAAAACCTTTAACCAACATGTAAGACTCATGTTTTAAAGAAGTGTTTTTTGGGGGGTTTTTTTTGTATTTTTTTTCAGCTTTAATTGAGTTTATTGGTATATTTTAGGTACACAGTACAGTTACATTCATTGTTGGGATCTTGTACCTCTACATGACAGGTCTTGATTCTCATTTTTTCCCCTTACCCCTGCCCTCCCTTCACCCCCTCCTCCTCTCCCCATCTACAAACACTTTATTTTCATCTTTTCATTATCTCACATTTTTTTCTTTTCCCTTATTACCCTTCCCCTACCCATCCCACCTTCCCTACACCTTTAGCTCCTTTCTTCCCATTTCTAAATGTCAGTGATCTTATTAGGATCTTATGTATTATTGCAGATTATTCACACCAGGGAAACTATTCGGTATTTACACATGTGTGACTTATTTATTGAAGATATACTCCTAAGTGAAATAAATAAGTTAAAGAAGTGTTTTAAAAGACCTTATTGTAATGTTTTCTGTCAGTTACTAAAAGTTTCATATTGGTCTATATGGAAAACAAAAATCTTGCTTTTTGCTCAGTGCCCATGCTTTTTTATACAGATAGAGAAAGAAAGATGAATGATAGCTTGGAAGATTTGTTTGACCGGACGATACATGAAGAATATGAATCCTGTTTGGCAGACAGTTTCCCCCAGGTGGTAAATGAATTGGAGGAATTATCTGCTGCCACAAGGAAACCAAATGGTAAGGCTTTTGTCTCTTTATGGCTTTTCTGTTGTACTGAATTCATCTAGTTCATCAGGGTAATTGACAGAGGTTTACTAGGGCATATTAACAAAGTTTTGTGGTTTTTGTGTAAATTTGTTTATTATTACTTATCTTGAATACTTTCAAACTAAGAGTTCTAAAAAGTCATGCTGAGTGTTCTCCTGAACTTTTCCTTCAATTTCCCTTTATGTTAACATCTTACATAGCCATAAAATATTTATGAGAGCAAAGAAATTAATCTTGGGTCATTGCTACAAATTTCTTTTTAATATATACATACAAATTTTTAAGTTTTGCAAAATTACTGTTAATAATTGCAATAAAGAATAATCTTGCAGAAAATTTACCCCCATTTTCTGCTATGAATGCTTCTTTATCCTTCCAGACTAAACACCTAATGTAGCTAGCTATATGCATAATTAGTCTTAAGATCTGTTACGTTACAAGCAGTAATTTTAAAATGTAGGGTAACAACCAAGAAGGAATGAGCTTATGCAATTGCAACTCTAAGTAGATAATCTGGATTGAAAGTTAAAATTCTAAATCCTCATCTTGTTAATAAAGTAGTTGGAATTTTTAAAGTAGTGCTGAGATTGTTTTATACTGGTTCAAAGTAAACACACCTCCCACAATAGCATGATCTGTCTTAAGTCCATAGTGCTTCCAGCCAGGGATTTAGCTCAGCGGTTCAGTGCCCTGCCTTGCAAGCGCAAGGACTGGAGTTCAACCCCCAGTACCAAATAAAAGCAAAACATAGTGCTTCCATCACAAGCTTTTGCTTGCTCAGTCCATGGCAAAATATGATCAAGTAAATTTTGTAATAAAAACTTAACAGCTGTTCTACATACTTTCCTCCCCAAGAAGAACAGAGAAAAAGGATATTCTGTTACAAAGATGTGCTTTTAAATTTCTGTCCTTTTTTTCCAGCTACATTTAACACTGGGAATTGCATTTGACACTCACTGTCCCAGAAGTCAGTTGTTTTGCTTTTGTTAAAATGTGCACTGTTGTTCTTTAGTGGCAGTTCCAAGAGTCTGTCTTTCTCAAATAGTTGATCTCTTAGCTTTTATTAATGCCTCTGAAATTGATTCCAAGTCTGCAGGTCTGAGTTGACTTTTCTATTAAATTCCATTCCTGCATTTCTAAATAATTGCTAGATAACTTTTGTTTCCCTTCAGCTTAAATTTAATATGTCTGAGACAAGTCCCATTTCTTTCCTACAAAATTCATTCTTATTTTTCCCAATCAGACATATATTTTAAGGTTACTTGTCCATTTATTTTCTTTTCTCAGCCCCGTATCTCAGAATCCTGCTTCTTCCTGCTTTATGGGAAATCAAGTTTGGAGGACAGTGTGAAAAGCTCAGTTCTGACACGTTAATTCTCACCAGTCCTTGAAGTATTTAGGAGGCAGTTGGCATGTGTTTAGAATTTGGACAAGAAACTCACATTTTGATCTATAGCAACACAGTAAACAGATTAAATGAGACAAAAAGGCAAAGAAGATTAAATTTATGTAGAAAAATAATAGATTTCTAAATTGATTATATTAAGTTAAAGATGTTTAGAAGATGTTAAACAGGTAGATGGATTCAGATCTGGCATTCAGAAGAGAGAGGACTAAGCTGAACTTAATAAGTACACAGAAATGTTTTCACCTGGCTTCCAGAACAACACATACTCTGTTTCCCTGTATATTACAAGACAAAGCTCCTTCTCCATTTCCTTTGCTGTTTCTTCTGTTTCTTTAAGGCCATAAAATTGCCATGCCCCAGAGGTCAGAACCCCCTTTCATTTTCAACATCTTGGTGATCTCACTTGGTTTCATGCCTTTAAGAACCATCTACTTGCTGTTCACCTCCTGCCCCAAAATTATTTCTTTATTTTAGATTTCCTGTCCAAACTCTAAACACATGCCAACTTCCTTCTAAACACTTCTTGAATGACTTCATTTTTCATCTTCCCTGACTAGTCTAATTCTCTGGCAGTACTATCTCCAAGTATATTTCATATCACTTCACTTCTCTCCCTCTTGGCAGCCACGGCCCTAGTCTAAACCACAGCTATCTCATCTATTCTACTGCAGGCCTCTTAACTGGTCTTTTTATACCAGTAATTTCTTTTGTCTAGTCTCATCTTTAGCGTTTCAAGAGGGATTTATTTTAAATGCAGATTAGATTGTGTTACCTTTTTGCTTAAAAACTCTTCAATAAGAAGATGCTTGAATGGCCAATGAGTCCACAAAAAGATGTTCAGCATCATCAATCATCCAGGCATTGATACCCCTCTCCACCCACTGAGATGGTTAAAGAGACTGAAAATATCTAACTTTGGAGATAGTGAAGAGCAGCTGAAATTCCCATACATTGAAAATGGCAGTATAAAATTGCTGCCTGTTATTTTGGAAAACAGCTGCTTTCTAAACAACTTTATAGAAGTTTGTCATTTTCTTATAAAATTACACATATACCTATCCTGTTACCCACCAATATGACTCCCGTATCACCCAAGAAAAATTAAAATATGCTCACAAAAAGATATGTTTAAAAGGTTCATACAATATTTATTTGTAACAACTCAAAACTGGAAAGAAATGTCCGTCAACAGGTAAGTAAATTGTGACACATTTATTTAGTGGAGTGTTACTCATCAACAAAGGGAAGGAACTACTAGACCCAACAACATGGATGAATGCCCAGCTTGTTGGATGGAAAATAGAAAAAATGAACAAGCACACTATATAATTATGTAGTTCCAAAACATCCATAACTAAGCTGTTTCATAAAAGAAATCATATCAGTGTTTATGGGGGAGGGAAAAGAGTAGAAGAGAGACACTAGAGAGCATTCATAACCTCATGGATCTGAGGCCAGTGGTGGTCTCGTGCCTGTCTACCTCTTAATTTCATCTCCCCCATGGCTCTCCTTTATTTGTTAAATCTCGTGCACAGTGGCATTCTCATAGTTCTGTAATATACCAGTTTTTCTGTCTCAATACCCTTACCTGTAACATTCCCCACTCCACCTTTTCTCACGACTGGCTTTTCATTCATCAGTTTATATTTTCCATCTTCTTTCTCCAGTAAGCATTAACTGTCTACCTGCTTAATGTTTAACTGTTCATTTGCTTAATGTCTTTTTCCTTCACTGTATGGCAGGCTCCATAAGGACAGGGGCCCTGGTCTTTCCTGTTCCACACTGTATGTCCAGAACTTAGTACAATTCTCAGTAACTTTTCCATTTGTAATCTCATTTCAGTATTAGAGTCTAGATATCTTGCAATTCAGATCCCAGATTCTGAACTCTAGTTCTTAAGATTTATCAACAGCATTCTGATAAATTTCTTTAATTTCCTTATTTTCTAGTCATTATATACCTTAAAGACACATAAAAATCAACAGGACAAATAAATGAGACATACTAAAAGCTGACTTTTCTTGTTGTTCTTTGTCATACAATAATGGATGTCTGAGGGGTTCTTTTTTTTTATCTTTAAGTTTATTGGTACAGTTTAGATATACAATACAATTACATTCATCATTGGAATCTTGTACCTTCATAAGACTTACGTTGGTTGTTATTTTTCCCCATCATTCCCCAGCCCTCCCTTCACCCCCTCTACCCTTCCCTGTTTACAAAGACTTTATTTCCATGTTTTTCCTTTTTATATATTTTTTCTTTTCCCTTTTAACCTTTCCCCTACCTCTCCCACTTCCTCTACTCTTTTAGATGTCTTCTTCCTGTTACACAGTATCAGTCAGACATTTTGATCCTTATTTACACTTTTAGTTTTTCACACCAGAGAAACTATTCAGTATTTACACATATATGTCTTATTAATTTCACTTAAAAGTATGACCTCAATGTGCATCCACTTAGCTATAAATATCTGTTCTTTCTCATTCTTTATGGCTGTGTAGTACTCCATTTTATTAAATACACACACACACACACACACACACACACACACACACACACACATCCTCTTTATCCAGTCTCCAGTTGAGTGGTTCTTTTTATACATTCTTGCCAGCTTAAACTACAGTGATATATGCATAACTTCCCATCAGGTAGCTTTTACCACTGGAGGTACAAATGGATCTAATCACTTTTATTGGTCTTTTTAACCAATAAAATTAAAAAGCCACCCATTGGGACAGTCATGTATGTACCTCTGGTGTTTCAAGCTGCCTGGCAGCGAGGCATACAAATTATAGCCCCATTGTGAATGTGTTGAAGTCTGAAATTCTCTCTGAGGTATGATTTTTGGCTCTTTGGTGACTCTGAGGTTACCAAAGATACACATCCTCTTCATTATACAAATAGAAAGGAGAAAACATAGTGATTGAAAATTTAAATGAGTTGCCCAAGGGACTAGAATATGAAATTCATTAAAAAGGTTTGGTGCATGTTATTTTTTTTTCCAAACAAGCTAATTATTTCTCATTAAATTCTACACTCAGTTTGTGATGTGCTTGTTTTATTTACAGCACACAATGATAAACAAGATAAAGTCAAGCAGAAAGCATTTGTGGAGCCATATTTTAAAGATAATGAGAGGTAAGTGGGTCTTAATTAATACCAGCAGTGTGATTGAAATTACAACACGGCTGTCCTTGTTTCAATATCTCTAAGCTATTAAATTGCTCCTTTGATAAGAACAGAATAATTTACTCTGATCATAGCCAAAAAGGACTGAAAAATAAAAGTGACATATTTTCCAGAGAAGGACATTTTTACCAGCAACACTCTTTTTAGATACTGGTAATAGCTTCTCTGTTATCTTATATCATAGAAATACTGTATTTTTACTCTATTTTATTTTGAGCTTTAGGAATTAAATTATATTCTCTAACTTTTTACATAGTATAAGACTTTAGGTGTTGAATCTGAGGTTGTTATACTTCAGGATTATTTTATGAGGATTTTTAAATCTTTAAAACAACAAAAATATGGTTTAAGCATCTTGATTTCAAACGATAGTTCTACTTTTTGCCTCTACTACAAACATTGCAAATTGTGTTACTTTCAGTCATGTGCTATTTGTTTAACTGAATTCAAGCATAGTACAGTAGAGTTAAAGAGCAAAAGAGGGAAATGTTTATGTAACATTTGTCCAAGGGGGAAGAGGAGGATAGAGGACTGTTATTGACTGACTGGTAACTTATTGAGTAACTCATTTGTCAATATGAAGAAAAAAAAAGCATAAAAATTTCTGGGTAAATAACTGGAAATCACTCATTTTTTAGCTGCATAGTACTTAGTTATGTAATTACAACATGGTTTATTTCCTAGTACTGGGCAGTTATGCCAGCACATGTAATGCTTCAGGGACCAGCCTGCACTCTCTCTTTTCATAAATTTTGCTTGTGTGTCTTTGGGGTAGATTTCTAGAAGTACAATTGCAGGGTAAGAACTGTCATCTCAGATGTCTCATATTAGAGATTTGCTGATTTTAAGTACTAGTTTATTTATTCTGAAGTTATTAGACTGCTAGAGAAATAGAAGGTAGGTAAAGTTATAGGGATGGTGGAGATCTGAGAGTTAACTTGGTTGCTTTTCCAAACTAAGCATTCTAGTAACAGGGAGAAGAAGCTTCATAATCTTTTGAGTGGCACTTTATTTATTGGAAGTCTGCTTTGGATACCAGTCCACTAGTGAATTCCCTACAGAATTATAGTATATTTCAGAAACAGAATAGATAATATTCAGAGAAAAGGATATAGCCAAAATTACTCTGCATAAGCTTAAGATTCCATAAACTATCTGGGGAAAAAATACAGTTTTAGCAGTATATTTTTATCCCTCCTTTCTTAGTGTCTCCCTTTTTAAATTCACAAATTGCTCCAGAGTTCAGTACCTAGATACATTAAGTTTACATACCTGGAAGTAGAGCAGTTGAAGCTTCTTGTGAGAGCAAGTGCTTGTCAAGTAGGGGAGCAAATGTTTGAAATATCTCGAAGGTATAGATGGGTTGCAAACAAGTCATTTTAAAAGTCAGATTTTGTGAATCGGCAGGGTCTCACTGTGTAGTTCAGGTTGGCCTTGAATTCATTATGTAGCTCAGGCTGGCCTCAAACTCCGTGGCTGTCCTCCTGCCTCAGCCTTCTGAGTGCTGGGATTACAGATATGTACCACCAACACCTGGCACTCACTGGAAAAGTTTTATAAACAAAATACATATGTAAGTGTTTATTTATACATCTTGTAAGTTTTAATTTGTGTATATAGGCTTTTTAAAGCTAGGTACAAGTATATTAATTTTTTAAAATTTGCACTTTTGTGTGGTTTTTTCTTCTCAAACTACTCCAGAACATACATTAACCTATATCAAGCACCTTTGACCCTTCCCAGGTCTCCAATGATTTAGAGTAAGATCTGATGCATTTAAAGAGAAGCACAAATAATAATTTTGCCCACACTTTGAAGAATTCAGAATGGGTAGAGGCAGTGAAAGGCAGTGTCTCCTTTAGACAAAATGGCAAATAGCACATGAACAGACATTCTACCCTTTGAAGAGGATGTCTGCGTTCTTATACTAGGAAAACTGAGGCTTTTTTTTTTTTTGGTTATGTTATACATGCACACAAACACACGTGAAAATTTGCTTGGATATAGTAGGTATGTAATAAATATTTGAAGAAATATTTTTCTAATATACTGAATAAGTACCTTAAGTAAAATGAATAATTAATGTTTCAGGATTACTTCTCCTCTGAAGTCTCACCTTTGTTCATTCAAATCTTAAACCACTAGACTTTTATAATAGCAAATAAATTAATTTTAAATTCATTTTCCCACAGAGAAACTAGCTTACGAAATTTTCCTCATATTGAGGTGGTTCGGAAAAAAGAAGAAAGAAGAAAACTGCTTGGGCACACATGTAAGGAATGTGAAATTGTAAGTACAAGTGCTGTTTTTGTTTTAAAATATGGCTTTATAGATCATAAAAACCATACAAACCATACTTTTATCCAGAAACCTTATTTGAGCTGGAAATAACAAGGACTACAAGGTATATTGGCTATGACCTGAGAGATACAAAGAGGTAAAAGTGAAGGCCCTCAGTTTCTCAGGTCAAGCAAATCTGAGGCCTAAACCCTAATTCATATGACCAGGCCACAACATTCATGACATTTTCCTTTTGTATATTTGCAAAGGTGAATTATATACACACATACAATTTCAGGAAAATTTGATATTTCAGTGGGATACTTTACAATAACGTATGGTTTTTCACAAAAACACTCAGGAAATTAGATATACTCACAATTAAGAAATAATAATTGGTAGGCATTTTCGGCGGAACGTGAAGCAGTCAATTGCTCCCTTTTGGCAGCCTGCACCACCTCCTCCTCCACCTTCACCGCTGCTGTCCCGTTGGGGCTCCATCTGCCTGAAGGCCCCTAGCCCACCAGGGAGTGTGAGTTTACCCCGCTGGAGCCCCTGTTGCCACTGGGAGATTTTTTTACTTCTGTAAATTTGCATCGTTCAGATCGGTAAAAGAGTACTTAGATTCAGACATTTAATTTTAATATCCATTGAAAATTCCTGATTAAAGCTGGATGGCACACTCATGATACTGAGGCAGGAGGATTGAAAATTTGAGGCCAGCATCATGACAAAATGAACAAAAGGCATACTGAAACCAAGGATGCATATTGACTTGCCCCATTTACCAGTGGTTAATTTGGGAATCCTGAGATAATCTGTTCCTGAAGTTCTGACTCCTTCACGTGGTAAACATGTTCCGTTACCTGTTACCTATATGTGTTCTCACATTTTACAACTCTCAGTCACTGTTGGTAATGGTGTTCACGTGTAAGACACATAGTCTAAGCTGCTGAAAATCATAATACGGTGTAAGAGTAAATAAACATGTTCTGTTACCTGTTACCTATATGTGTTCTCACATTTTACAACTCTCAATCACTGTTGGTAATGGTGTTCACGTGTAAGACGCATAGTCTAAGCTGCTGAAAATCATAATACGGTGTAAGAGTAGATTTGAGTCCAGTAAACTTTCATTTTTAAAGATTAATAATGATTCAATAAGTAGAAGTATGTCTCTTATTCACATATCTCAACTGAGGAAATTTGTTAGAAACTTCCGGCTTTTCATTGTCTGAGTTTGTCCTGTCCAGTACTGTGTCCACTAGGTATATATGGCTATTGAACATCTAAGATGATGCCAGTGTGACTGAGGAATTGAATTTGTAGTTTATACTTAAATTACAGTAAAGACAAAAATTGCAAAAAAAGAAATAATAATTGGTAAGCTCTTATTCTTTCCCTTATTTTTCCCCCCATCAAAATGTGGTAAGTTTTGCTTCATTTTTAGAATACTTGTATTTTTCCTTTTATACACTGTCTGTCTTAGATGAGTTCTTTCCCTTATTTTTCCCCCCATCAAAATGTAAGTTTTGCTTCATTTTTAGAATACTTGTATTTTTCCTTTTATACACTGTCTGTCTTAGATGTTGAACTAGTTAGTGTAGTACTAGTTGTGCTGTTACTAACTAATCCTGGGCCTTGCTTAAAATCTGCTCTTTTTCCTTCTTTCTTGCCCATTAGTTTTCTCATGCCTGCCTCTAGCAATTTATTTTCCCTTTTAAGGGTCCTGTTTTAACAACTATAGGCTGTATGCCAATCAGCTTTTCATGGCCTTTTTTGGCTCGTGGTTGCAGAGGTGTTAGCCTGTGGCTGCTTGGGCCTGTGGTGAGGCAGAGCATCATAGTGAGGAGCACGCGGCAGAGCACAGCTGCTGCCTTCATGATGGTTGGTGTAGGACATCCTGGGTGTAGGACATGTACTTCCTCCTGCGACACCTCCCAGTAGTGCCATCACCTGGGGGCCACGCCTTCAGCACAGGAGCTTCTGGGGAAACCATAACAGGCTAGGCAATTTGCTAACCCAAAACCTTAAAAAGTACACATGCAAGTGTGAATAGATTGTCATGTAGGTAAGCATTTAGTGAAAATATACAGTCACAGTGGGAATAAAAATGAGGCTCACTCTTTTGAAAAGCAGTTTGGCAATACAAGCAGAAGTCACCAATATCATGAGTTTTCATAACACAACTTGAATATGAATTCTTAAAAAACATAGCCTTCATAAGTATATCTCCAGTTTTTATTTCTAACCATAACTCTTTCTGATCTGGAACCAATTCTGCTAGTTAAGCAATAGCTCTTGTACTAGAAACACTGTCAATTTGCTTTTCTTCTCAGTGCTGTTCTTCGCAATTGTCTAATCTCTGAAAACCGTGGTTTCATACATTTTATGTAGTTTTTCTTCTTTAGTTGTTAAAGGTACAATAGTGAATCGTTCCATTACTCCATCATGACCAAAAGTGAAAGTGCTAGCCTCGTGTACTTAAGTACTAGTTACTGTTCCTAAATGTATCCCATTGTCTGTTCCACATGTGCAGTGTATAGCATATGTGTGGATGTGTGATAGTGACCTCAAGTTTCACATGTCCAAGAGCAAATTCAGTGTCTACCTCTGATTCCCAAATGTCACCGCTTAGCCTCCTGTATGTCCATTCTTTTGACTGGTGAAATAAAAGATCTAGTAGTTTTTCACTTCTCTGTTTTTGAGCATGTCAGTAATCTATCAGGCATATCCTGATGATTCTACCTTGAAAACACATCATTTCTATCAACTTATTGCTGCCACCAGTGCCCTGGACCAAAGCACCAATTTTTTCTGTCTGGACTATTAAAAGTAGATTCTGAGTGATTTTCTTGTTCTTTTTTTTTTTTTAATAAACTTTATTTTTTAGAACATTTTTAGGTTCACAACAGACTTGAATAGAAAGTACAAAGTTCTCATATAACCCCATTGCCAGTCTTTGTTTCATTCTTGTCTGTTCAGTGTGCTTTTGACACAATAGTGAATGATCTTTTTCCCCTAATAATCTTTTTAAAATAAAAAGTTAAATTGTGTCATTTCTCTGCCCAAAACCATTCATGTCTTTCCAGCTCACAAAGAAGCAGAATCCAAAGTTTTTACCAAAGACAGCAAACTGTGGTACCCTACTTCCTGTTTGTATTCTCCCGCTCTCCCATGTGCTCTGTGTGCTGTAGCTACAGCTGCCCTATCCTGCTGTTGTATCCAGATACCTTAGTTTGGTGGCAGTGTTTTTTCCAATAAGCCATGGTCACCTAATGTTATTCCATTCCAAAGCTCAGACTAAGGTAACAGAAGGATATAGTTAGGGTAGTAAGAATGGTGAAAATATGCCACCCCAACTCTGGTGTTTCAGAAAGTCTCTGAAAGCCTTTAATCCATGTAAAATTTAAATACATCAAAACTTTTTTCTTTAAACTTACAATTCTAGTCCTAAGTCTGTTACTTAAGACAATATCTTTGGCAAATTATCAATTCGATTTTCATCTTTTCAAGTGTAAAATGAAGGAATTGCTGGATTATGTAACTCTGACATCTGTGTTCCATTAAACTGACCTACTGCTTTGTTTTCTTGAGGTCTCCAATTTGAAGGCATACATATATATATATAGTTTTTATATCCATGTTTGCATGAAGTTCAAGGTTGTCATGATTACAGTTCAGAAAAGTATGCTTTTGATCCTAATTTTAAAATACAGTTTACAGGGGAAGTCATAAATCCTATAGCATTCAGGTCTAAATTATAGGCACATGCCTATAATCCCAACTACTGAGACAGGATGATCACAAGTTTCAGGCCAGTTTGGGTAACTTAGCAAGATCCTGTTTAAAAGAAAAGAAAGAAAAATATAGTTTTTATATCCGTGTTTGCATGAAGTTCAAGGTTGTCATGATTACAGTTCAGAAAAGTATGCTTTTGATCCTAATTTTAAAATACAGTTTACAGGGGAAGTCATAAATCCTATAGCATTCAGGTCTAAATTATAGGCACATGCCTATAATCCCAACTACTGAGACAGGATGATCACAAGTTTCAGGCCAGTTTGGGTAACTTAGCAAGATCCTGTTTAAAAGAAAAGAAAGAAAGAAAAAATTGTAAAGGATTCTGAGGATGAAATGCAGTGATAGAGAGCTTACCCTGAACACACAAAGCCCTGGGTTCAATCCCTAGTACAGATGGATGGGTGGATCTAGAGATGAGAAAATTACTTTGAAACACACTATATCCAAACAACAACTAAAACACTGCAGACCTCTGAATTTTTGTAACTGGACTTGCAAAAATGAGGAATTTATACCAGTATATGAATCAGTTGTGTCACTGGGTACACTTAGGTTATTTACATAAAATTGTAAAGGATTCTGAAGATGAAATGCAGTGATAGAGAGCTTACCCTGAACACACAAAGCCCTGGGTTCAATCCCTAGTACAGATGGATGGGTGGATCTAGAGATGAGAAAATTACTTTGAAACACATTATATCCAAACAACAACTAAAACACTGCAGACCTCTGAATTTTTGTAACTGGACTTGCAAAAATGAGGAATTTATACCAGTATATGAAGCAGTTGTGTCACTGGGTACACTTAGGTTATTTACATGTGAATATAAATTCACATTGTAAGTTTATTTACATTTTTCTCATTCATGGAACAAATATTGCATGGACAGTATCAGCACTGATAACTGTTAGTAATTAATAGTGTCTAAGTATTAATTACAGATATTATCCTCAGTATTAAGTTTCCATAGAAGACAGTGTTTTTATAAGTGACTTGTTTAGCTCCTAGTTTATAATCAATAAGAATGACACTCCATTTACTACCCCTCTATCAGTATTATGCGGGTATGCCAGCCGAAGAAAGAGAAAAGAAGTTGGCTTCCTGCTCAAGACACCGATTTCGCTACATTCCACCCAACACACCAGAGAATTTCTGGGAAGTTGGTTTTCCTTCCACTCAGACTTGTATGGAAAGAGGTAAGAGTATAGATTGTAACATTTTAGAATTAATTTTTTTTAATATTATATATTCCCAAATTTGAGCATTAACTTTTCTGCATGATTCTTCTGTGTTGGGTGCTAATTCTGTAACATAAAAATAAACTCCTAAAGATAAAAGGTTTACCTTCACCTCTCCTGTTAATTTAATTGAAATCTAAGATTTTAGTCAATTTAATATATTTATATGTGTATTATGGTTTATCATTCAAATTTCAAAAAGCAATTTCTGTTTCATCCTATTATCGAAAAGTCTTAAATAACTACAAAAGTTAGTGGCAAACTTATGTTGTTAACAAGAGAGCATGTTTTAAAAATGTACTCCTTTGAGTTGTAGACTTTTAGACCTCACTCATCTAGAATGCTGGATTTTTATAAACCCTATTCGAATTTTTAAAAAGATATTTGCTAAAAAAAAATGGTGTTTAGGGTCGGGGATTTAGCTCAGCGGTTCAGTGGCCTGCCTTGCAAGCACAAGGACCCAAGTCCAATCCCCGGTACTGAAAAAAAAAAATGTTTGCTAGATTTTTGACATGTAAGTATGATGCTTACATTTAATATAATTTAAGAATGTGTGACTTTAAAACTGTTAAAACGTCTTGAGTAGTAAATTTTGTTCTCACTGATTACTACCATTATTACTAGCAATGTAATGCTAAAAACTATAAACACACACTTACCTAGTTTTGTATTCGTTTTCTCCCACTTAATTAGGCTTGTTCTGAAGTCCTCCTGTTACAGTAACTACCTTTGAGGCAGCATACTCCCATTCATTCTGCCCTACTTCAGGCCAGGACTGTTAGTCTGAATATATTCTATACAGTCATTTGCTACATAACATTTCAGACAACAATGGGCCACATATACAGTGGTGATCCTGTAGAATTCCATCTCCCAGAGAGATTGTAGCCATTTTAACTTGTGTATGTATACTCTGGTGTCCATCCAAGGAAATTGTCTAATGCTATTTATCAAGCCATCCCCCAATCATAAGCATGACTGTATTTGAGCAATATAATTCACAGTAATTAAGATCTAATTTAGTGTAAATTAAATGAAATGTTCTAAAGCCTTTGTGCTCTTAACCTTAAAAGAGCTGTTCAGCTACCAGCATGCATTTCACAACCTTTTGTTATAAACATATTCCAAAGGAATTCACAAGAGCTATACTTTATGAGGGAACCTCTTTAGCTCAAGATTTTACTCCCTACATTACTGCATTCTTAGAGCTTTTTTTTTTTTATTTGCACATATTGGAAGTGTTTGTACAGATAATCAGTTGGGCATTGCCTTTAATAGAATGTACTCTTTTTGTTTGTTTGTTTGTTTTGTTTTTTGAGACAGGGTCTCACTATGTAGTCGAGACTGACCTGGAGCTCATATGTAGCCCAAGCTGGTCTTGAACTCACAGCGATCCTCCTGCCTCAGCCTCCTGAGTGCTGGGATTATAGGTGTGTGCCACCACGCCTGGCTAAGAGAATGTACTCTTATGTTTTAGAGAATTTTTTTTAATCATCCTAAAACAGGAATAAATATTCACATCAAATGTATGCAATTTATCAGGTTCTGTGGATACTTCAATGAAGAGGCTGTCTAGAAAAAAGCCATACATGATGAAGTGCATTAGCTAAGCAAGGACTTAACTGAACTTCCTAGTTTTACCATGATCTGTAGACCACCCAGTCTTACCTTGTGGTTTATAATACTGAGTTTAAAAAAATGAAATAAAATACTGAGTTTTATGAAAATGTAAAATGTTTTCTGAGATGTAACTGGTAAATACAGTGTTCATAATATATATGAACTAACTTTTAGATTTAAGATAGATTTAATTACTAGCCTACAGATCTTAATCCTGTAGTTTTCAGTTATAAATAAACATCCAAAAAGTTTACCCACAAGCATTGAATAAATATCAAATAAGATTACCATTTAGAAGTTTTCAGATTTGCCATTTTATGCTATTCTCATTTAACAGTTCTGATGGCCCAACTATATGATTACTGTATTTCCCCAAAAATAAGACTATGTCTTATATTAAATTTTGCTCCAGCTGGACATGGTGGCACACACCTATAATCCCAGCACTTGGGAGGCTGAGGCAGGAGGATCACTGTGAGTTCGAGACCAGCCTTGGCTACATAGTGAGTTCCAGGTCAGTCTCAACTACACAGTGAGACCTGTCTCAGAGCACACACACACACACACACACACAAAATTGCTCCAAAAGATTCAGTGAAGCTAATTTTTGGTAGATGTCTGTTTTCATTTTCAACAAACTACATGTACTCATTTATTCTTATACAAAAATCGACACCTGTTCACATACAGTCCTGTCATCGCCCGAGTCACAACCTCTTGCAGGCCGGGCTTCACAGTTTTCATTAGATCACGTTAGCTGAAGACTTAGGAGACAGGAGTGGCAACAGAAATCATGACAGTTAAGGATGATGGTCCATGCAAAACTATGAAAATTTGCAGGCACCAAAATTTTTTAAATGTTCTGTTTCACATGAATGCCTGAAGTGTGCCCATTACAACACACAACATATTGAATATGAAGATTCATATTAGCCACATCCACTTATTATCAAGTGTGTACATTATTTGTGCACTGTTCGTTCAGCAGTAAGTCTCGAGGTCATCTCTTTATGTAGGTGGTTATTTCTCATCCAAAGGCACTTGTTTAGGTACTTACAAATAATTATAATTTATATTATCATTTAAGTATTAATGTCAATAATATTCATGTTTAATTATATTTTTAATTGAGTATATCTCTCATGTATTACAACCACTGTACTAATTGCATCTGTCTGGCTCATGATCTTAACTGGGGCTTAATTTGGGGATTGGGTTTATATTTTGAGCATCCTGAAAAATCATGGTAGGGGTTATTTTCCTGGTAGGTCTTATTTTTGGGGAAATACAGTAGCTTAGGGGGAACCTTCATCACTTCCAGAGAAGCTTCAGGTTTTTAACTTTATAATAGCTTTTCTAAAAAATTCAAACTCTCTGGCAGCTATTATTATGTTTCTATTTTCCCATTAATAAATCAGATGAAGTCCGTTTTGACATGATAGCTCTCTGCACAATCCTCACACAGAATCAGACAGTGGCTAGATTCCATGTTAGCACCATAGTGTACCTAGGGCACGATCGTCTCCTCAAAGTTCTATGTATGGAGACACCTTTGGGAGAGCCCTAACCATCTAAAAAGTGTGAGGTAGGCATGTCAAGCAAGGAAATAGCTACTGCAAAACATCTTCTCTTTTCTTCCCCATATAAGTACCTGAAGTTTATCATAGTAGTATAGGTTGTACAGCCTACGGGAGGCAAAACATGAGAATGCGTAACACCTCTGGGTCTGGAATTACAGCTTGTGCAAGGTTCCACCCCTTCCACTTCCTAGTTTTGTGAACTTAGGCAAGTTATTCTCTAGGTCTCCATTACATCATCAGTCAAAAGTATGAGTTACCTGAGATGTTGTACACAAAGCATTTGATAAATGTTTGCTGTTTTCACTGTTAATATAAATGAGAAAGCATGCAGGTGTGGTGGCACACACCTGTAATCTCAGCACTCTGGGAGGCTGAGGTGGGAGGATGCCAAGTTCAACTCCAGCCTGGACAACTTACTTAATTAGCAAGACCCTGTCTCAAAATAAAAGCAGCGTGGGGAGGATAATAGCCCAGTGAGAAAGCCTTGCTTGAGTCAGTCTCCAAGCCACGCAAAAAGGAAGCTGATGCTTCGTAGTGACATCATTCATCAGCATTACAGCTAAAAATCAGAAGACCCATGTAAATTTATAAGTCATTAAATAAGATAAATTTCTACTGGGTGTATGCTGAAAGAAATGTATGTTGCAAATTTAGTCTTCTAAACTTCTAATTTTTTTTAAAGGTTACATTAAGGAAGATGTTGATCTTTGTCCTCGTCCAAAACGACGGCAGCCTTACAACGCAATGTTTTCTCCAAAAGGCAAGGAGCAGAAGATATAGAGGCTGAAGCAGAAACAGGGCAGAGGGCACTTTTTTCCCTTTTAGTTATTTATAGTTAGTTGGTATTAAACATTGATGTTTTTTGATCTTCTGTAAATTGACCTACAAATCAGTTTTTCTATTAAAAATGTTTTTAAATAGCATTTACCTAACACAAATGACTATTTAAAATGTGGATATGTTTATACTTTCTTGCTATTGCATCTTTAAAACAATAAGGTGCTTTAATTTTGCACTCTTAACTTCAGAGTTGTTTGTTTACTATTTTGGTAATTACAATTTTGAAAATATAGTTGTCTGATTTGTTTTTTTGCAAATATTTTCTACTCCACCTTCTTTTGACATCTTTGACATCTACAGTTCATGTTGGTTATAACAGATTTTCATTCTCTTAATCATTTGCTCTTTGGTAGGGTACACTAGTATCTGACATTTAAGTCTTAAAAAGAAGCGCTAAATTTCAGCAGTCTTAACTCTCCAGCTTCTTTCTTTTATGGAACTGAAATGACTTACTAAGGTGACCGTACAATATCAGTAAACTGCAAATTAGTGTCATCCCCTGATCTGCTCAGAATATTGGAGCTCTTCTCATGTTCTTTTTTTGATGCCATTTTCAAGCTGAATTTGCTGAATTCTCTGCCCATGTGTTCAGGTTCATTTGTTTTATTTCTCTGGATTGACTCATAGCCTCTAAAATAGATTTATTGATTTAGCAACTTTCTGTTCCTCTAAGAAGTTGTGGCTGACTCATTCAGCCACAATTGTAAACCTAGATTTCTCCTATCTTTCTGCTCTTCTATACTTTGCGTATGACTTCCATCTTTATGAAAAATAGCTGTGCCACCTCTAAAATCATGCCCATATTCTATGCAAGAAGAAAGGAAAAGAAAAAAAGTAATGTTATTTGGTTTTAGCCCCTTAAAGTTTCCTAGATGTGAGGAAAGGTGGCACACACCTGTAATCCCAGCACTGTGGGAGGCTGAAGCACAGGGATTACAAATTTGAGCCCAGCTTGGGCAACTTGGCAAGATCTAGCCTCACAATAAAAAAGTTTTAAAGGGCTAGGTAATGTAGCTCAGTTTGAAGGCCCTGAATCTAATTGCCAGTACTGTAAAAAATTAGTTTCCTAGAGAGCCTTACCCTATAATGTTCCCTGCAGTCACTTTCCTACTTCCAGTAGCCAGAATTGTCACTTGGCTAACATTAATAACAGGTACAGATGAAGTCAGATTATATGATTGTTGACTTCCAGAATCAGAGCTCATATCCACTGTTGCAATTCCTCTGTATGCCAGGAACTTGAGAGACACCTGTATTTGAATGGAGTACAACAGAATGTGCAGTTCCATTTTGCTTTTTAAAGGGCAGCCTAAGCAGAGGGGGACTAGATTGTCTACCTGATCGAAGCTTGTCAGCCATGTAATTCATTTGTAATTCATTTTTATCCTCACCTTGTGAGGTTGGGCAAACCAGGGTCTCCAGTTTTGTCTGCTGCTGACTAGCTCTACTTTTAAATAGAGTAATGAAATAGACAATTGACGATTTTATTTTTCTCGTGCCAGGGATCATACTAGGACCTTACTCATGCTAGGCAAGCACTCTACCACTCTACCCCAGTGCCAATAGAGGCAGTTTTTTAAAAAGCCATTTGAGTTAGAAGGGTGCATTCCATGACATGTTCACAACAGGGCTGTAATTCATATGTCTCATTGCTGGGTAGGTTGAACCACCAGTGAGTGGTACACACATGACTGTACCGTTTTTTTCCACCAGTGATACAAGCCACCAAATGGGACAGTCATGTGTATACTACCAGTGATTCATGTCGCTAGAACATGTTAAATGTAAATGGCAGTTGATGACACGGTGAACTCCCAACTTTTCTTTAAAAAAATATAAACGAGCTTTATATATTTGTAAAATATTTGTGTAATTTACCTAGTAGGTAATATTTTCCATGCACCACATGTCAGTCATTGAGAAGGTATAGTTATGTAAATCAGATTGTCGGCAAGCTTTTTAAATTCAGCTCTGATTTAAACTTCAAACACATACAGAACCTATATATTAACACTTAACATTTAAGTAAATATCTTCCCTGCCTTTGATAGATACTCTGATTAACCCATCTGAAACCTAAGGTTGTCCATGCCAACAGTAAAATGAATTAATTGTGAGTATCCAGAAGTATGTAGAAAACATATTCCCTTGGGAGTAAAGCCAGATGAAGCAAGAATTGCCCTAATACTTTCCATGCAGTGAAGAATTTTCCCAAAGTGCACCTGGAAAGGTCGCTGCTAAGAGGTGCAGTTTTAGTAACTCAATTTAAACTGCACCTGGTACATGCCTTTTAAAATGCATACAAGGCATTCTTAAAGCCTCTAGAACACATAACTTTGAAAAACTACAAAGATTCCTCAGAGGGTTATCTTTAATCCGCAATGCACTTACCAAAAGAGTAGTGTTACATAAATCTAATACCAGATAATTTGTTTATATAGCAAATATTTACCAAGTGCTTTATCTTTAAAGTGCAGTGTGGATTAAGCAAAATTTGAAGCATTTTCTCCAGAGAGTAAGCTTTTAAAGAAATACGCCTGAGGATCTTCCAGCCTTTTCTGTAGCATCTTAACGTAACATGAATTTAACATTGAAAAATACTACTTCAGAAATAAATGTTTGCATTACATCTCAAATTCTCCCATTCAATTATCCATTCTCAGCATAAGTTTAAGAGACATCTTTTCTCTGTTAATGCTGTAATAACAGTTGTTAGTAAGCAGGTGTCCTTATATTTGAGTTCTTCAACCATGCACTCAAGAAATAATGAAAATTGTCTGCTATCATGCCAGCAGAGGCCAGAAGAGAGCTGTTTTGAGGGAAGTTTCAGTTGGAAACTACAGGATTGAGCAACCCTGAAAGGACATTCCTTGGCCAGGTGTGATAATCTGCTCCTCTAGTCCCAGCAATTGGGAGGCAGAGGTAGGAGGGTCAAAAGTTCAAGGCCAGCATGGGCTACATACGGAGATCCTGTCTGGAAAAAACAACAAAATGAAAAGTTTTCTAGGATAAATAATACATGAATTGTGTACCTTTGGCACAATGATGAAAGCTCATTGGACCCAAAAGAGCTTTAGCATAGCTATTGCTGGAATAAAACAAATGAAAAGAAAGCAAGAATTTATCGTCTTGAGATTTTAAAAATCAACAAACATTGTGCACCTGCCATGTGCTGGGAATTTTGGGATTAAAGATTTGTCAGGTTCTGCTACCCAGTGGGGAGAAGAGACATAGAAAAAGATGACTAAGAGGCCAAAGAATGAAACAGCATGCAGAAGGAATCTTAAGGATAACTAGAACCAAGCTGCATCAGGTTGAGTTAACTTAGGAAAACAAGTCAAGGTAAGTTGGGAGGCATGAATGTGGAAATGCTGAGAGTCAGGAGAGACCCCAGTGATAATTTAGTTCTCACCCCTCCCTTCATAATGAGGGAACAGAAGCCAGGCATGACTGCTAAGGTCTCGGGCTTGGAGCTATAATGTAGTGCATCTGGGACCTACAGTTTGGTTTGGTTTTTTGTTTTGTTTTGTCTTGCAAGGGAGTTTCTTTTCCCTTCCAAAGTGTCTATAGATCCCTAATGGTATTTTTAAGAGGCAGGAATGTGTCTTGAATGTAAAGCAAAAGAGTTTAAACTCCAGTCTCTAGGCTTGTGGTTTCCAAACCCATAGGTAGCAGATCCATTTATTCTAAATTAGAATAAGTTAAACGTTACAAAGAACTTCAATAAATATTCTTTGTAGAGTCTCTAAATTACCTAGATGGGACACAAACTTGTCATCCTCTTGCCTCAGCCTCTCAGAGTGCTGCATTTACAGGTGTGTCACATGCCCAGCTGACAATTATACTTTAATGGCCTAAATTTATTTCAGTTCTTCAGTTTTGTCATCTTTTAGAATTGAATTGGTAAAGCTAGATAAATAACTGTGAAATGAATTATGGATGGCAGATGGCATCATATCAGTTTTGATATCCCAGTGAAATGCTTGCTGTACCCCAGCCCAGTTAGATCCAAATGTCTGAGGGTAAGGTCCAGGCACCAGTATTTTTTTGAAGTTTCTGGGTGATCTAATGAGCAGCCAAGTGGAGGATACTCAGTCATTTCACAGGCCAGTGCAGTGGTACTCTGATTCCATGGGCCCTAATATTTATATTTTCCACACATTACCCAATGTTGCTAATGTTGCTGGTATAAGGACCATAAGTACCTAATCATAAAAATCACCCAGGTGCTTAGTAAGGGAGATTCCCCCAGGTTCCTCCCATGGGAATTTTGATTCAGGCATAGTCTGAGCATTTTATTTTTCGCAAGTTTCCAAATCGTAAGTATGAGGCACATTAAGAAATACAGTGGACCCTTGACTTCCATATCCATTCGGTTCCCAAGGAACAGCTGTAACTCAAGTTGGTTGTAAGTCAGTACAGCTGAGATATGGATGTTTTTACCTGGGTGCACGCCATAGATAATAAGAGGCAGATGATTCTTCCATTAACCTGATTAACCCAAGTTGTTTGTATTTCAGGCCACTTGTAACTTGAGGGTCTACTATATTGCTTAGACCACAGAAAAAGCAACAAAATGTTAAAAACTTCAGACATCTAGGCATTGGTGGAATATGTATGTGGGTAATGAAGCAAGGGTAGGTCAGGTATGCAAGAAGAGAATAATTCAGTAATTATTATATTCCCAAGTGCAAGGAGCACCTAGGCTAAGATGACAGCAGTGGAATGAAAAGAAGAAACAAGAACCCATGAAATGAAATTGCAGCCACTTAATCGTTGTGGGTTGCATACCAGAACTGGCCCCTGAGGATACGGAGGTCAATGAGACACAGTTTTGAATAAGCCTATAAACAACTCAGTGATAATAAAGTGACATACAAAGCAAGAGTCACTGGGTTGGAACTCTCATTGGAAATGAGGGACTTTTGTTCTACATACTAATTATAAACTTTAAAAACAAAGGTATCCATAATTCTGAAGTGAAATTTTTTTTAAAACCTTGGATTCAAGAACAATTACATGTGGATATTTGCTTAACATGTTTCCGTCTCTACTCCAATTCAAAGGTGTCATAGCCACCTGGAGATTTTTTTGTTATTGTTCCAGTTTAT